TAGTACTATGATTGCTTTGGTTCCCAACCTTGACAAAATTGACAGCAAGATATTCTGGACACTGTTTGTGAGCAATTTTATAAACATGATTTAGCTTCAGTTGTTTTACTCTGTCTTCAACATTCAGCATATCCAACTGCTGTAATTCATCCTGGCCTAAATGTTCTCTTGGTCCCAGCCCCAGGATGAATCTTACGATTTTGTTCTGGGTGATTTGCAGTCTATCTTTCAGTTCTTTTTGTCACGGCAGAGTACCATGAAGAGCAAGCGTAATCCATATGGCATTGTATAAGGGCTAAAACATAGGGTCCTGCGAGCCTCAGTAGGTAGGACACTGTGCTTGCCCTATACAGGAACTTCAGTCTGGCATTCGTTTTTCTTTACTACACTGTTCCCTATGAATTTCCCTGACATGCAATGGGTCAAAGGGGATTCCCATATATTTTAACTGAAGAAACCAAAGTGATGGGTCCCCATTACACTGAACATTAAAATTATTTAACCCTTTTTCAGTTTATGTTTCGTGCCAAAGAGAATGGCTTCGTTTTCCCGAGGTGAAATGATAGTTTGTTGTCTACTAACCATTTGCTGAGGACTCCAGTTTCCAGTGTTAAAACATTAGCAATATCTTGGGGGTCTTTACCTGTCACTTTAACAAGGCACCTGTCTTTCTGCATTACAGTAGGAGTTTGAAATTGACACTGATAAGCATGTCATTGACATAACATAAGATAATAAGGGACCCAGAATACTATTTGGGGAAATCCAAACATGTTATCGGCAGGGGTTTTGATTCCGTTTTGTTGATTTTGAATATTTGTCTCCTGTTGCAAAGGTAGGATTAAACCAGTCTAAGATACCTATACCGATAGCTTTAAGTTTTTTACTTAAATAATATTGTGGTTGACAGTATAAAGGGCCCCTTTTGCAGTCTAAGGTTACCACACCTATGAGGCCCCCTTTTGACATTTCAGTTCTCAGGTAATCCATCAGATTAATTGGGGGAGGTGTCGGTTGGGGTAGGATCTTCTAAAGCCCCCGATTAAGCTATGGAGAATTTTTGTTGTCATTAAGGTACTTAAAACTACTTGAGAGTACACCGCCTCTCTGAATTTTAGTATTAACTGAGTTACTAACAGGCCTATAGTGCTGACTCAGACCTACTATTTTTCTTAAGATAAGAGTTACTCTGGCCTCCTTGAACCCCTTTGGTACGGTATTAGTGGTGATTGATAGATTTTTTATGTGAGCAATAGGGAAATTGACCCGTTTCAGAAAACACCGTCTTTAGGAGCTTAGACGGGATGTTATCAGGGGCCCGTGCTCTTAGTTGGGTTTAACCTGCTTAGTTCTTTTTTAAATAAAGTCATGAATACACTTACCCAGTTGACAAACTGTTTGGGGGTTACCCCTTAAATTGGTTTATTTAAACTTACAGGGTTTTTTAAAAGGATTTTTGAAATTTGATTTTAAAAGTGTTGATGCAACGAGGTAGTAGGAATTAAAGCAATTTGCCACCTGATTTTGTCATATTTTTTTTTCAAAAGGGACGTTTCCCAACTACGGTTTTTGCAACCCCAAATGAGGTTTCCGGCCGGGGGGGAGCTTTTCTTCTTTTAGAATGGCTTTTCCTTTTTTCCCTTTTTAAACCTTTCTTTTTCCCCCCTTTGGTTCTTTTTGCTTTTAATATTTGTTTTTCTTTTCTTTTTACACTTGGTTTTAAAATTTACCCCAATATCTCAGTAGCCCCCCAAAGGGTTTCAGTTTCTTTTTTAATCCAAACCCCCTTTTAACGGGGGGCGCAAAAATTATAAAGGGTTGGGAGTGAACATTGTTTTTTAAATTTTTTCCCCGGGCATCGTTTACGTCATTTGAAAACTGTTATTTCCCGTCCAGTCCAATTGTGTAGCCTATTTACCAGCGGTTTTTTTGCTGTTTTTTTCTAGTTGACCTCATTTTTTTGTCCTGTGTAGGGGCCCATCCTATCCCCAGTGATTTTCCCGGTTTTCCCGTAAATGATTGGGAAAAGATACTAAGCCTGTGGTAACGGGAAAGCCTGACTGACTTAAAGTTTTTCACCCCGGTTAAAAAAAGTATGTGGTTTAATTTGGGTGGCCCGTGAACTGTTTTGATTTCCGGGGGTTTGGTTTTTTAATTGGTTTGGGGGGGGGGTAACTATTTTTTAAAACCCAGGGAATTTTTTTCTTTCCTTTTGCATAGACCCCTTATTTTTGCTGCGGGTAACCCGATAAATTTAAGTCGCCCGTATTATTGTCTCGCAATTGTTTTTTAATCCGGACCCTTTCTCTGGAAAAAGTTTCTAAGAAAATGGGGCCTGGGGGGAGGAAGGGCCGGGAACTAGTTTTCCCACTAAAGATGGGTTTTTGGGCTTGAAAGCAGCACTTCAAAACCTAGGAATCTCCAGTTTTTTTTATTTAAAACATTTTTTGGGGTTGGGAAGCCCCAAATCATTTCTAATGTTTTTCACCTTTCTCCACCACCCTTTCTGTTTTCCCATCTTTAAACGTTTTAAAATTTTTAAAACCCCTATTTTTGACCTTTGTCGCATTTCCCGGGACATTCCCAGGATTCGAGTGGTTTAACGCCGTCCTAATTTTTTTTACTAGAATCCCCCAAGTGCATAAGTTTTGGGGGCAAAGCTCAGGTTATTGGGGAACCCCAAAATTTTTTCGCAAAGATTTGCTAAGTTATACCGTGAATTAAGGGAAAAATCCTGGACTTCACCCTTTCGAAAAAAAACAAAGCAAAATGCGATAAATTTAAATTAAAGGACGAGGTAGATTATAGAAAAAAAACAACAATTAGAAGACAGGGGGGGAAATGACTTGCCCCCCCTTTAAATTAATACCAAAAAAATAAAAAAAAAAAACACTCAGTTTTAATATAATGTTCTTTAAGTATTCATCAATGTAAAAAAATTATTAATATTTATTTTTGTGTTAAATAATTCACGAAATCTTAACAACACAATTGTGAAGAAGCCACGGAACGGATGGGGCTTGAACCTATGGCCTGGAATTTTAGGACTCACTGCCATGGCTTCAACTTGTGGCTGTGTCACCCACTGACAGCAGCAGCAGTCATCCACTGACAGCAGCAGCAGCAATCCACTGACAGGAGCAGCAGGAGCCATCCACTGACAGCAGCAGCAGGAGCTATCCACTGACAGCAGCAGCAGGAGCCATCCACTGACAGCAGCAGCAGGAGCTATCCACTGACAGCAGCAGCAGGAGCCATCCACTGACAGCAGCAGCAGGAGCTATCCACTGACAGCAGCAGCAGGAGCTATCCACTGACAGCAGCAGCAGGAGCCATCCACTGACAGCAGCAGCAGGAGCTATCCACTGACAGCAGCAGCAGGAGCCATCCACTGACAGCAGCAGCAGGAGCCATCCACTGACAGCAGCAGCAGGAGCTATCCACTGACAGCAGCAGCAGGAGCTATCCACTGACAGCAGCAGCAGGAGCCATCCACTGACAGCAGCAGCAGGAGCCATCCACTGACAGCAGCAGCAGGAGCTATCCACTGACAGCAGCAGCAGGAGCTATCCACTGACAGCAGCAGCAGGAGCTATCCACTGACAGCAGCAGCAGGAGCAATCCACTGACAGCAGCAGCAGGAGCATCCACTGACAGCAGCAGCAGGAGCTATCCACTGACAGCAGCAGCAGGAGCCATCCACTGACAGCAGCAGCAGGAGCATCCACTGACAGCAGCAGCAGAGCTATCCACTGACAGCAGCAGCAGGAGCATCCACTGACAGCAGCAGCAGGAGCATCCACTGACAGCAGCAGCAGGAGCCATCCACTGACAGCAGCAGCAGGAGCCATCCACTGACAGCAGCAGCAGGAGCCATCCACTGACAGCAGCAGCAGGAGCTATCCACTGACAGCAGCAGCAGGAGCCATCCACTGACAGCAGCAGCAGGAGCCATCCACTGACAGCAACAGTCATCCACAGACAACAGCAGCAGCAGTCATCCACTGACAGCAGCAGCAGGAGCCATCCACTGACAGCAGCAGCAGGAGCATCCACTGACAGCAGCAGCAGGAGCCATCCACTGACAGCAGCAGCAGGAGCTATCCACTGACAGCAGCAGCAGGAGCCATCCACTGACAGCAGCAGCAGGAGCCAATCCACTGACAGCAGCTAGCAGGAGCATCCACTGACAGCAGCAGCAGGAGCCATCCACTGACAGCAGCAGCAGGAGCCATCCACTGACAGCAGCAGCAGGAGCCATCCACTGACAGCAGCAGCAGGAGCCATCCACTGACAGCAGCAGCAGGAGCCATCCACTGACAGCACAGTCCATCATGCAGCAAGACATCAGCAGCAGACAGTCATCCACTGACAGCAGCAGCAGGAGCCATCCACTGACAGCAGCAGCAGTCATCCACTGACACCAGCTGCAGCAGGAGCCATCCATTGACGGCAGCGGTCATCCACTGACAGCAGTCCTGGAGGGATTAGTACCAAACCTGCACACGAAAATCACTCTCTATGAAAGCAAAAGACTCGCAGGAGATGCAACATTCCCCCGATGAAAAGCAGGGGCGCCACGAGTACACTGAGAGACAACACAATAAGTGTCCGGGGCCCAAGACTGTTCAATTGCTTCCCAGCATACATAAGGGGGATTACCAATAGACCCCTGGCTGTCTTCAAGAAGGCACTGGACAGGCACCTAAAGTCAGTACCTGACCAACCGGACTGTGGTTCGTACGTCAGCTAGCGTGGGGCCAGCAGTAACAGCCTGGTTGATCAGACCCTGATCCACCATGAGGCCTGGTCTCAGACCGGGCCGCGGGGGCGTTGACCCCCGAAACCCTCTCCAGGTTAACTCCAGGTACGTGTTAAATCATTTTTCCTGTTAGATTGACTGAGTTATAATCACTGAGGGAACCATAATGTATTTTAAAACGTGCATAGGATAATTTTTTATGGCTTAGGAAATGCCATAACCTTTCGTACTCTTCCAGGGCACAACGAATCAGACGATGAATATGACATGCAGCGACCCCACGGCACTCTTCTGGTTGCCTTCTTCCACTGCATCTGTCATCGCCTTCACTTGCCAAGCCTATGGATACTGGATGCATTCCAGAGGCCTATGTTTTCAAGGTAAGTAAATGAGAAATATATACATTTATACATCAATATATCTAAACACATGAGTATAATAAACATTGGTTGTTGGCATGGGTATACCACGATTGAAAAGGGCTCACTTGTATTGCCGAGATATACATTATTCCTTTCATCTATCGTATTATTTTCTCCGTATGGGTTCGTTTGTGCTATTAGAGTATAAAAATATAATTATTTACATTTTTATACAGTTCATCTTTACAAGGCCTAGTCTCATCTCTTCCCCGGCGCTGGATCACCTTACAGCGTTGGTGAAGTTTGATCAGCTTTGCTAAACTGCTTTCCTTTGTCAAAATCTTGCTGTGATTTGTTACCCTATGACTGGGAATGGTTTGTGGGCTTGATGTGAACTACATTTAATGGGTTAAGGCCTACGTAGTAACTTGCTGAATTTGATTTGGAAAGACTTCTGGATATGGCTTATCAGTGATGCATGGGCTTATGCCAACACTGCTGATATCACCACTGCTTATAGTGCCGCCACTGATGCTTTTAACGCTTCTGCTGATGCTTATCACACCCTCTTCTGCCGCTGACGCCACCGCTACTAATGCCACCACTGCTCCTGCTGCAACTGCCGATGCTGCCGACGCTGACGTTGCTGCCGCCCTGGCACCTACGTTGTATTACTTAAGTCTTTGAATTAGACTGATTACTGGATATGTTTAGGAGTACTAATTTCTTTTCAGTCGCTCTCCTTATGTTGTGGTTCTGTTTTCTGTAATGTGTTGATATGTTAGGTCTTGTAGCCTCATTTGGTTTGGAATTATGTTTTTCGTTTATATTAATAGTTTTCCCTCAGTTGCATGGTTTTTTCCTTTGGACACTTCTTACGTCAATTCATATTTATTTTTAGAGTCAAGAGTACTGCGTGATCTAGTAGGTCATTTAAAATGCTTTTCAGATCTTACTACATCCTTGCTTGTCCTAGCTATGGCATACTACCTCCACCCCAGGATGTCACCCATTGAAATCAACAAACGTTCAGGAATTAATTTGCTGATAAATAAACAGTAACAGTAAGTGAAGGAAGATTTGTTCGTACGTTTTTCCCTCCCAGGGTCCGATGACAGGCCCTAACAGTTAAGAGTCGAATACCTTGTTCACCTGATTTTTCCCTGATGTTCTTAATCATGACAGCAAAACTTCAGTTTAGCATTAAACATAGCAAATTTAATTTTAGTGCACAAATTTTAGTTAATATCGAGAGTATTGTAAAGTCATGTACAAATGTTAACTTGCTCCCGGGTTAGAATTGAGACCATTAAAAGTGATGAGGAACAAAAGAGGGGCCCTATCACAATCCTAGAATTGAACAGTAGTTCTGACTAAGATTCTTTTAATGTTTGTGGAGCAGTGGAAACAGCTTGCCTTGCCCTCGTAGGATCGGCTGTTCGAGGCACATACAGTTCTGTAGATCCCGATGGAAACTGCAGGACGATGGTATTTGTAATGCTCCTTCTCAAAGGAACTGACACGACGGTTTTTAGTCGAGCATAACCAAATCACCCACTGACACCTACTTTAGGGAATCTTCTATCTCTCTTTCTCTGTGCTGCTTATTATGTGTCACTGATTAATACACATTTTAATACTCTTTCATAGGTTTCGGCAGTTAAGGTTTTGGCATGGGTTTTACAATAGCCACAATGCCTCCAGAGACCTCGGTGATATTTGCAGGGGCATATATGTTTTGTGCTTGATTTAATAGTCCCTAATTTATAGCACTGTTTTTATCCTCTCATGATTTTCTAGTACGTTTAGCCGGTGTTGTGTGTTGTAAATGAAGGCATACTTTTTAATGTACATTGTTGAGCGACTTTCACAGAGCTCTGCAAATCCCTCAGTCACCTTCCATTTCCTCTGTGCACTTCTTATCTCAACAATGAATTCTTCATATCTACTTCCACATAACATTTTATCACTACAGATCCATAGTCCATTCTTTCTACATGAGCCCCCACAATTATCCATGCAGGGATGAGGAGTAAATAGACCATTAATACTAGTGAAATCTTTTACCCACGATTTGGCTTTGTTAAATGTATTCCGTGATTAATTAGCTAAACAAGCATTAATTAAAGAGAACGTTGAATATAAATTTTTTTTTCAAACAGAGTTTACGAAATACTTTCAGAAAGGAACTAGCGAACGAACTCGAAAAAAGTACAACAGTACAAATAGGAACTAGAAGATTCATTAACCATCGTAACGAAATGTGTCAAGTAGAATGAGAGATGATGTTACTGTTAGACTAAGGCTTGGCTACAGGATATTTCTGGCAGAAGGGTTTGTATGGAGACGTCAGTGACATAAAATGGAAAGTATGTGAAGACAGACAGAGCCATACACTGAAGTTATCTTAAGAGTCTCCAAACATCCAACATTTCAGAGGCACACCCAGGCAAACTTTACAGGATATGACAAAACACCTCATTGCTACTGATAAGATATCTGAAATCTTGAGGTTGTATCCACATTTCACATCGATTAGATGAATGGGCGATTTTTACAAAGGAGATTGCAACACAGTTATGGTAACAAGATATAAATTTTCCTTTTCTCTTTGAGAATCTATTTCATACTATATTGTATACATTATCTATATGAAGTAAAAGTGATATGTGAAATGACTAATATTTCTTTCAATGAATGTAATAATGCTTAGAGGGGTCTGACAAAGGCCCATTGTGTAATTCAGAATTTCGTGCTACTGCTCACAGGATTAGCTGCGAGTGCACAGTGAACTAGCCGTTTAGGCGGCACAACTATCTACCTGATAAGGTCTACGCGTGAGTGAAAGGTTGTACCAATACAAACTACTGCATGAAGTGACTGTTTACCACTTGTCAGCGTTACATCTTTATTTAGCAGAACTATTCGACCAACCTACTTTCAGAATACGCCCTCCCCCTCCTCTATGAGAATCCCTATAACTCTTCATCCACCCCTCCATCGTAATCCGTTCCTTTTAAATGAACTCCCATTACACATCATCCACTGATTCAGTCAAAATCACATAAAACCCAACCTCTGTTTAACCTGAATGCAGCGTGCAAGACCAAGATGAGAAACGTGGTGTGTCGGTTTCCCTTCCTCTACGAGGGTCAGGAGTACAGTAGGTGCACAGCCGTGAGTCGTAGAGCGGATAAGGCTGGGGACGACCTGGTGTGTGGCATTGTGTATAACGTCACGCAAAACTGGCAGCTGAAGGCTTGTGACATGGATAACACCTCCAGCACTTGCGCGTCTCTCTTGGGTAAGTTGGCTTGTTTTTATTGTGTGTGTGTGTGTGTGTACTCACCTAGTTGTACTCACCTAGTTGAGATTGCAGGGGTCGAGTCTTAGCTCCTGGCCCCGCCTCTTCACTGGTCGCTACTAGGTCACTCTCCCTGAACCGTGAGCTTTATCATACCCCTGTGTGTGTGTGTGTGTGTGTGTGTGTGTGTGTGTGTGTTTTGTGTGTGTGTGTGTGTGTGTGTGTGTGTGCGCGTGTGTGTGTATGTGTGTGTGTGTGTGTGTGTGTGTGTGTACTCACCTATTTGTACTCACCTATTTGTGGTTGCAAGAGTCGAGTCTTAGCTCCTGGCCCCGCCTCTTCACTGCTAATGGGTCCTCTCTCTCCCTGCTCCATGAGCTTTATCAAACCTCGTCTTAAAACTATGTATGGTTCCCGCCTCCACTACGTCACTTTCTAGGCTATTCCACTGCCTGACTACTCTATGACTGAAGAAATACTTCCTAACATCCCTTTGACTCATCTGAGTCTTCAACTTCGAATTGTGACCTCTTGTTTCTGTGTCCCTTTCCTGGAACATCCTGTCTTTGTCCACCTTGTCAATTCCGCGCAGTATTTTATATGTCGTTATCATGTCTCCCCTGACCTTCCTGTCCTCCAGTGTCGTCAGGCCGATTTCCCTTAACATTTCTTCATAGGACATTCCCCTTAGCTCTGTGTGTGTGTGTTATTCCCATTTACTAATAGTTACAAGGAGCACTTCATTTTTTACTTATTTTCGAATTTCGTTTTACTTCTTCTACTACTTCTAATAAAATAAATAATAGATTAAAACATCTCATTGATCAAAAGAGAGGCATATATAGGCAAATCAAAAGAGGAGACGGGCAGATAAGAAATCAATATATTCAGTTAAAGAGAGAAATAAAAAAGGGAATAAGAAAAGCGAAGAGAGATTATGAAGTTAAAGTCACAAGGAAATCGAAGACCAACCCAAAAGGATTCTTTCAGGTATACAGAAGTAAGATCAAGGACAAGATAGGCCCACTAAAAAGTTGCTCGGGTCATCTCACCAACAGTGATAAGGAAGTGTGTAGATTTTTAACATTTACTTTCTCTCAGTTTTTGCACAGGAAGATACTAGCGATATTCCAGAAATAATAAATTATGTAGAACAGGACGATAATAAACTGTGCACGATTAGTGTCACAAATGACATGGGTCCTTAGACAAATAAACAAATCCCCAGGCCCTGTTGAACTGTACACAAAAATTCTAAAGATATGTAAAGAGGAGCTTAGCAAGCCTTTGGCTACTCTTTTCAACATATCACTACAAACTAGAGTAGTGCCAGCTAAGTGGAAAATGACAAATGTGATACCTGTTTTCAAAACAGGTGACAATTCTTTAGCTTCGAACTATAGACCAATAAACCTAACCTCCATAGTGGGAAAATTCATGGAATCAATAATTCCCAAGGCAATTTGTAGCCATTTTGAAAGACATAAATTGATTAATTCAGGCGTTCTTGCCCAAATTTATTAATTTTTTTTCACCAAGGTATTTGAGGAGGTAGATCATGGTAATGAATATGATATTGTATACATGGACTTCAGTAAGGCTTCTGATAGAGTTCCACATCAGAGTCTATTGAGGAAAATTAAGGCACACGAAATATGAGGAGAAATTTTTTCATGGCTAGAGGCATGGTTGACAG